AAAAAAATATGCAGTGAAACCTGCTACGGGGATCAATGAGCTTAAGAGTAAAAGTTAAGAACGCGAACGGGTTGTATGATAAACGTAAATAGAAGGTAAGAGAGAAGGGCGAAGAAACATTGGCAAAGGAAATCGCAAGCCAAAAGCGGTCATGCCAAACAGGAGACATTCAGTGTTTCCCAGGTACCACTTCATTATCTCGATTCGTTTGACTCAGTCTAAATCCATCCAACTGCATTCATCCCGCGAAAAAAGACAACGCTTAAAACGGTACGCTTGGCCGACTGTCATCGACAGCGGATATCGGCCTCAGTAGACTACAAGCAATGGCAGGAACGGGAATGAGACATGATGGATAGAATTCTTGGCTCTCACTCATTTTCGCTATCAATTGGCGGGATATACAGAAGGGTAGCGCTTATTTTTGCATCATGAGCTGGACGAACTCGTTGTCTAAAATCGGTCAGCATCACCAGTTTCACAGCCGCACTAGATCTGGTGGGCATCTCAAAACGTACAGTCGATCCGGCCGTCACCATCCTGATCCGCCTCGCGGATCATCTCATCAACTTCATCATCGGTAAGCTTCTCGCCGATAGAGGTCATGACGTGGCGCAGTTCGGCAGCAGAGATAAAGCCGTTGTTATCGCGATCGAAAACCTTGAAAGCCTCCCGGATCTCCTCCTCAGAGTCGGTATCCTTCATCTTTCTCGCCATCATCGTAAGGAACTCTGATTGAACATTAACAACTATTTCATGTGTGTATCGTACGGAAGCCGTCTCGTACCAGGGAAGTCAATGGTGCCATTGTTGTCGGCGTCAACCTCGTTAATCATGTCCTGGAGTTCCGACTCAGAGGGGTTTTGGCCCAGAGAGCGCATGACAGTGCCCAACTCCTTGGTGGTGATCTGGCCTGCATATCATGTCAATTTATCAACGCCAAGACTACAACCGATCGAACAGAAAATGGGTAAAATTATGGCGGCTAAAGGATATTGGTCGAAGTTGAAGAGAGATTGAATAAAATGACTTGTACTAACCATCACCATCCTTGTCCTATTGGGAACCCAAGAAAGCCAAGTCAGCTTGTGTTCGAATAAAGGCTAATCAAACCCGATTTTCGCGAACGATGATAATGACTTACGAATAGGGAGAAGGCCTCCTTGTACTCAGAGACCTGTTCTTCAGTCAAAGAATCGGCCTAGAAGATGCGCTGTCAGCAATTTCGTTCAGAATGCTAGACGATCTGCCCCGCAAAGTGGGGGATTTTGAACACGACTGACAACGATGGAAGAAAGAATGACATACCATGGTGAATATGGACGGAGTATGAGAAAAAGTGGTGAACAAATAAGAAAAGGAACAAAGATACAAATGAGAATAGGTGGGAGGTTCAAGAAGTCGATCGCGTTGATAGTGGGGGGAAAGTTGGGAAGACGGGCGTTGTTTAAGGGGAACCGACCCAACTTACTTCAATCATAATAAATGGCCAGCCCGGCCGACCACAGAGCTGAGCGCCTCACAAGGCGGTCGCAAAACGTGACCCGCCCTAGCCATAAGATGCTCCGAGCGCCCTCTAAAAGGAGGAATGGCTAAGTCAAGCAAGCACTGCCCGATCTCTTTCTTCAGCTCCCTCTTGAATGCTGTAGCCTACGGATGAAAAATTTAGCGCTACTATCAAGATCATAAATAGATAGTCTGTCATTAGTGTCCTGTTCTAACGATATCTCCATGCCATATGTATGCCTGTGTAGACCTACACACATCTAGAGACAGCGTGGCACCCCGTCATTCATCCATACAGGAAAGCTTGAAGGCAAACGAATATTCGGTTACTGATCCTTAGTGGTGGCAATTTCAGGTACCTGAACCCCATCCTGATTCAATGATGACCTACAACATACAGCATGCGGCAGTTTGGACCGTGCTCCTCATGCGAGACATTAAGTCCATACTCCCATGGATGAATTGAATTTGACACTCGCCATATCATGGAGGTTTTCGTATATGGAGTAGATATCCATGGATGGCCCAGCGAGCAGTCAGAATATAGTAGTCTTCGATATACCTTCTATCAGTGCTAGAGATAAATTTAACTTTTAAATACGCCACCCTTCTTTTCTTCCCTGCAGCATATATGCGCCCATGATGTCTTGTTAACACAACACCTCTCACATAATGTCTGGAGGCCTCATGGGTCGAGATGCTTGTGGGGAGCCACACTAATTACAGGACCGTTACGGGTATAATATCACGTGATACAACCGCGGGACCTGATACCGCTATGCCGGATGAGGACTAGACCTCTTCCCCTTCACGTGGGCCGTCTCCGGAGATCGAGCTACGGAAGTATTGATGGTTAGTATCTATAGGATGAACAGTACTGCTTTTTATGATCTTACGCCCGTTGCGAATCGGAGCGCCCCTTTCTCATACTCGGGCTAGGCTTGCGGCGAACGACTACCCCAATCCATTGACCGACGATGACCAAGACTACCTAAAGGACACTCCGTCGAGAAGATAACCGCAAAGGATCCCAGAACTCCGCCCTTTCACAATGTGGCGCGATCGTACGAATTTGTAATGAATTCTTTTAGATTTTCTGCGCTCGGTGTGGTCATTGGCGGAAGAACTAACATCTCTCTCGCTCAGATATATCTCCTATCGTCAATCATTCGCGCATCATCCGGCCAAGAAACCTCGCTATATCGGAGCATCCAATGGCTTCTCCGATTCGCTATCACAACCAGAGGAAAGCCGCAGACTTATATCGGAATCAGGAGGACTAGATGATGATGGCGATGCAATTATCGAGATGGATGTGCTTCCCCCGCGGTGGGTCGACGTGCAGGAAGAAGTGACAGAGTTACTTGCCGACATTGCGCAGAAGTCCGCCCAATTGGATAAGCTACACCAGAAACACCTTCTACCAGGGTTCGGGGACGAAGAAGTAAGGAAACAAGATGAAAGTGTTATCGAGCGGCTCACACAGGAGATCACGCGCTCCTTCCATGAATGCCAGAAGGCGGTCCAGAAGGTTGAGTTGATGGTACGTGACGCAAAACAACAAGGTGGTGTAAGTAGTGGTGATGAAACTATGGCCAAAAATATTCAAATATCTCTTGCTTCACGAGTCCAAGAGGCAAGTGCTCGGTTCAGGAAGAAACAAAGCACATACTTAAAGAGTGAGGTCGCCGCTGTTTCCGTTTCATACATGTTAAAGCTGCTAACAGTGCTATTGATAGAATTGCGGGGGCTGGAGGGTGCAGCGAACCCTTTCGAACGATCTCCAACACCTGTACAAAATCCTTATACGGATCCCTCTTTGATGGAATCCGATGCAGACAAGTCCTTTTCGCAGACAACTCTGATGCAAACATCACAGCGGCTCAGGGGAGAGAATGACGCCGCCATAATGCAGCGAGAAAGGGAAATCAATGATATCGCCAAAGGTATTATTGAGCTATCAGACATATTCCGCGAACTTCAAGCAATGGTCATCGACCAAGGTACCATGCTGGACCGGATAGACTATAATGTTGAGAAAATGAATACAGAAGTTAAAGCTGCTGATAAGGAACTCAAAGTGGTAAGTCCTTACTAGTGCCATTATTGTATGTCTCAAAGATGATGCTAACTAGGCGTGCTATTTATAGGCCACTAATTACCAGCGGCGTACAACGAAGCGCAAAATCCTTCTATTATTGGTTATTATTGTCGCAGGGTTGTTCATCATACTTCTGGTCAAACCAAAACGACATGCTAGTAGTTCGCCAGCTCCCGCTCCAGACACCCCACAGCAACCTCCATCGAACGAACATCCACCTGTGGTCTCTCCCCGAACCTTCGAAACTGTCTATCGACGGAAGAGGCGCCCGTCTTTGGCTCCAGCTGCACGAAGCAAATGGGTGGATCCTGACATACACCGATAGCTCTAGCCCTTAACAGATACCATGATAGTAATTCATAATTTAAGTCAAATGAGTGTTGCAATAGAATGTCACAACAAGGTACATGCAAGGTAAATATTCGATACGGAGCAGTAGCTACTAACCTAATATAACAACAAAGGTATATGCATAATCACCGGGACATGATATATCATGCTTATTCTGCATATTCTTGATATTTCAGAGAGACACGGTCACCAGAAAGAAAGCAATCAGGGATCTATGAGACGAAGATATCAAAAAGATCGACCAACTAAGCTTTTCGCGAACCGAGAGCTTCACTTGGGAAGATTGCTTTCTTGCTGCAATAACTCGGCGACATCAGCGTCCAAATCACCACTGGCAAACTTAGCATAATCTTCTTCCTCATGAACGACCTTGCGTTTCTTAGAATGGAGCCCGTTTGGGTCATCTTGAAGACTACTTTGAACAGCTTCTGCGGTAAATCCGAAGCCAGACAATGAGAAGCCCGCAGTCGGTTCATGAGATTGGGCATTGTTCTGTGCAGCAAAATCCATCTCTTGCAGCTCCTGTTTTGGCGATCCAACGGGTGTAAGAGCTTCCACGGGTGGTGGGGTTAGAGCTTCAACCTCCGGACGCGTGACGGGATCTCCCTCGGAGTCTCCAAGGTGGGCGGCTGGCGAATCCTCGGCGGATAGCCCTCTCATGATTCCATCCTCCACCTCGCGTTTCTTCGCCTCAGTCTCCGATCTTCTTTCTGATAGCTGAGTAGCCAGAGACTGCTCCTTCGCCAACGCCGAGCGATTGGTCTCAAGAAGTTTTTCGAGACCATCAATGAGTGCTAATCGCGATTTTATTACCTCAGAGACGGAGCTCTCGGCATTCGCAAGTGCCTTCAATAGCTGGCTGAGTCGCGCGGCATGTACTGGAGGTGTCGGTAAAGGGGTACTGGGGTCATGCATCTTGTCATACTCGGCATTGGCTGTCGTCGCGGATGCACCTGAGGCGACCGTAGATTTTGATAGAGCCACTTGTAGTGGAACAAGGGGCTGGAGCTCAGAAGGCGTTGAACCAGACGAGCTCGAGAAGAGTGACCCGCCCAGAGGCGGCTTTTTACCGATGGAGCGTGATTTGTCAATTTCTGCCTATAATCAGTGGTTTGCGTCTATTAGGCTTGGGCTGAGACAAGCTTACCATCTACGCGCGCTTCAACCGCGTCCTGAATCGGCGGCTCAAAGATTGCCCGTTGTCTCCAGACCTCTACTACTCGCCGGAGCTTCTGCTGAATATCATTCGAAGCACCTTTGTACGCAGTAGCCGTCGCCTCTGCGATGATCTTCGTTATATTAGCTTGAATCCCCGTAACATTTGCGGATTAAACTGACTGGTGAAAATGCTATTAAGAAATCCTCCTTCCGTCGTGCTCTTGACTGTTGCGCGACCTCTAACGTCTGTATTAGCGCCTAGACGAAACCGAACCCTAGGCAAAGCCGTCACTATACCATTTGCAAGATATATCAAATTTAATCGCTTTGGCGCCGGGGAGTCACGAAGCTTTTGTAGCCAAAGTTGCGCAGTACGCTCAGCATGTCGCCTAGTATAAGACAAAGATGTTAAACAATATCAACGATTATAGCCAGCTGTCTAAGTACCTGTGGAACATAACCCATTGCGCGACAGTGACAATACCCTCCTGCGTCTCATTGAGGGCGGAAAGCTTCGCTTTCACAGCATCGTCTGTATAGGCCATACTGTAACTGTGACCGGAACTGGGATGAAGCAATTGATCCTTGGTTTTGGTAATAAATGAAGCTCAGTGAGAAAGATGTCTTGCTACAACTCCTAATATAGTCACTGATTGTTTTGCGGTGCAGACAGTACCAATCTTGGGTATTAAAACAAGTGAATGGAATACATAAGTAATGAGAACAATGACCAAGTGGCAATATGTCCTGAATTAAGACGGATGTGGAGATGTTTTGTTACCAAGAAGTACTCAGTGAAGCTCCGTTACACCTTCTAAGCTTTACTCACCGCCTTGAACGGCAGAATCATTCCCCCGGGAGACAATCAACACCCCATCTGTACCGCTTCTAGACGCCAGCTGGACCATCACATTCCCGTCAACTTCCCCTGACCACCTCCTTTGATCAAGAACTCATTGTGCATTCAGAACCAGCTCTATCATACTCACAGCTACCATGGCAGACCGATTCCCCTCCCTAGAAGACTTCTCCGCTGGTCAGGATCTCACATGCAACCCCCCGTTCCAAGTATGTACTAACTAACCGTTTCCTAGGCCAAACTGAAGTCGTGGAGACCAACGGCACAGATGCCGATGATTTCCTAGCCCGCGAACGAGCCGTTCTAGGTGACGATGCAGAGCAGTTTGCTACCCCTCAAGACCACGTCGCTAACACCGACGGTGTAAATGCTGGCGATGACGATTTACTGGGCGGTGCGGACGAGACTCCAGCTGGCGCAGCCCCCGAGATCTCCGGATTCGAATCTTCTTTCCCTGCTATTGAGACACAGAATGAGGTACGGATGTGGGCGTTACTGTCTTTATATAAGGCTGTTTAATTGACATGTGTTTCCGTGAACAGCAAGTTGCGCCTGGCGGCATGATCACTGGAACCGGCGCTCCTTTCCCGCCCACGGGCTTCTCAAGCTACCAAACTCCGGAGGAGGAATCCGAGCCCGTTAGGTATGTATTAGAGATCCCATCTACGATTGTCGTATATTGGGCGTATCGGCCGACGACGTACTCTCCTTCCCCATGACGCTAACTTGGGCACTCCTCTAGGGAATGGCGCGAAAGACGAGATGCGGACATTGCACGCCGCGCGGAGATTTCCGAAGAAAAGAAGCAAGCGACTGTTAAGAAGGCTCAAGAAGATATCGATGACTTTTACGTTTCCTATAACAATAAGACCGATAAATTGCATGCTCAGACTCGTGCGGATGCCGAACAATTCCTCGCCAATCGCGAAGACACTTCTTCCGGAGGTACCAGCTGGGATCGCATCGCAAAACTTGTTGATGTCTCTGGAAAGGGTGCCAAGGGTGGTGCAAGCGGGTCTGGCAAGGAGCGTTTCCGTCAGTTGTTGGTTGATCTGAAGAAGGATGAGAATGCCCCCGGTGCCAGTGGCATCTAGACCTTGTTTGCATTACAATGCATTTATTATGATTTCATTATTCTATCCTCCTTGCCAGGTGCATAGCACTCTTTTTCTCGATCCAGATACTCCATTACACAAGTTCTATTCTTCGGATACTCAGTTACGGTTGCGTTCTGTTCTTTATTTTCTTTCAACCGTGTTTTTCTATTGGAACTTTAACTTCTTGAAACTTATGTAGGTAGATAATATGCAACTTGTTCCGTACAGCGTACATAGACTGCTAGTATACCAGCAATAAGCCGCACTTCAAAGTGAATACATTGATTGAGTTTACTATAGACAACTCAGGAGTAGCCTGGGTAATTAGTTAATATATCTACAAAGTACAACCCAGTCACATTGTACAGAAAGAAGCATTGCATATTAAAAATGTATTAGAGGTGAATAGTAATTGGACAATGCACTATTTTTGAAACATGCAGAAAGATATACACGTCATTGCAGTCGGCCAGTATCCTGCATAAATCTTTAGTCAAGTTCAGTAATATCACCACCCGGCTCTCCCACTTCCTCAATCCTATTATCCTTCTTGCTTTCGGCTTCGATCTCTTCCAACTTCTTCCGACCTTCTTCTGTGGTAGCATCCACAATACCCTCCTCGAGGCTGAGCATACCGCTTTGCCCAAGCTTCTCCACAACGTCTTCTGCCTCCTCTACACTCATCTTGCCGAGGACCTTATTGACTTCATCTAAAGATTCAGAGCTCAATGCCTGCTGCAGGTCCTTCGAAAATGATTCAAAGATCTTGCGTGCTTCGACTTCGACAGGCTCGCTACTCTCCGCAGCAGGGATATTGATGGTGATCTTAGTGTTGGGATCAACTGCATGAAGCTGGATCTGCTCAACACCAGCGGGATCGTTGGATGCAGAACCGTCCTTAGCGAGCTCTGCTGCACGGGTCTTGATCTTATTGTAGGTTTCATTGACATCATTTCGGAAAAGCGTTGATGCTTGATGATCTTTCGTCGTGATACTGCATGCCAATCCATATTAGCTGTCTGATGACCCCATACTCCCTAGATAGAAAGGGTAACATACCGCTTGAAGAAGAGAGAAATGCCATCACGGCCCAAGGAGCGGCAATACTGGAGCAGTAGGCCGTGGTGAACGCATGTACGAGCATAGTCCTCTTTACCGTCCATTTGGCTATTGAATGCTTCGACTAGCAGGCCATCTGTTTCCTTCTCTGCGACGAGTTCTGGGTGCTCAGAGATGAACTGAAGCAAGGTACGGTAATCGTTACGGTTGATCTTTGCAAACCGCTTGGCCAGATCACTAGCCTTCATGTTTTCTGGGTCCTCTTCCTCTTCGTCAGCGGTCGCCTTCTGTGACGAAGACCCCGATACCGCGGCAGGGTTCAGCAGCTCGACAGATTCCGCCTTCTTGGCTTCAGTTTCTTTGCCCTTAGAGTCGTTCTTGGCGACAAAAGATGTGTCAAAGCCGGTATGTATCTGATCACTTGTGATTTTGCTGCTTTCTTCCTTCTCCAGTTCTGCGAGTTTCGCCAGCAATTCTTTCTGCAAGCCCTGTACCTTGTCCTTGTGTCCCTGCACACCCTTGATGTATTCCTTGAGAAGGTTGTCGGAGCTAACTTCGCCCATCTCCTTCTTAACCTGATCCACCAGTGAGCTCATCATTTGAGAATACTTTGGCTGTTCTTTCTCATGCGTGTATACACCGGCCGGTGGGGCAGGGGGCTGATCTTCTGATGGATTGCTTGCCGACTCCATGAGGACCTGAAAAACCACTTCTTCGGGGTTTTTCGAGGAACCCTCATGCTGTTGGAGTGACTTCAGGAGTTGGTCTATGCGGGATAGAAGTCCGTCGTTAATGATACGCTCGTACTTGAGAGTTTCGATTTCATGGCGGCGTTGCATGCGCTGCTGATGAATCTGGGCCTGTTTGGCACGGATGAAAGAGCGCTTGTCGACATTAGGGTGTACTTCGATGTCTGAATCATCAGACAGCTCAAGCGCATCCCATTTGCTGTAATCGAGCACCATCTTGAACAAATCTCGACAGGAGGGGTAATAGTTGCAGGTGGGGTAATACTAAATAGTAGATGAAGTAGTAAATAGAGAAAAATGGGTTTAAACTATATGTGAGAGATCAGTCAGAGACACTTTTAACTCATCATAATTAACGGAGAATCCTACCAGTGACTATATAGGACCTCAACAAAATAGGTTCCAAATAAATGTATCGTCCAGGTCGAGCTCTCATCGAAAGCTCTCGATCAGCTTCGATGGCTGCGGAACCGCCCCAGGCGGTGTCGGATGGCAGAACAAACGCCGATTGCGTCTCCATCGATGCGGCGATTATCGGGCTGGTTTCGCGCGGTGTTCAGCTGCAGCTGACTAGTACTCACTATACTCCGACACCCGTGTTAATTTGCACAGCGGACATTGGCTTCTGCATTGTCATGAATACGACTGTATTTTTGTTTGTCTAATGAGGATATGGCACCCTATTCTCTCTCATGACATCCTTCTAGTTAGCCGTTCGATTCCGCTTCAATTTACATTTCCGAAATGCGCGGAGTCCGGGTGCTTGGGGCTTGGACTCCAGTATTCACCGCGAGGCAGTTCGTTCAGCCAAGAGGAAGCATTCTCAGAGAGCTGTACCCTGGAGTTCAGACACATTCATGTGTAACTGGAGTCTATAGTGGCCAAAGCCGGCTGTTTTCGGGAGTCGCGGCTTCATTGTGCAACAGTACTAGCAACTGCCGTCTCCAGCCCCCTACGAGTTACCTCCAGAACGATGTCCTTAGACGTGTCTTTCCTCAGTCGCGCCCCTCTCACGGTTTACGGTTTTTCTCCTCTACGCACCGGTATCTAGAATCCAAGCCAACCACCCAATCGACGAATACTTCTCAGGCGAACAATGCAAGCAATGAAAAGGAGGATGAAGAGGTAGACAAAGGCTTCGAACTATCTGAACGGGCAGCGCAGGCAGCAAAAGTCAATCTCAGCGCAAAGTTGGCTAAAGACGGTGCATCCGGAAAGAAATCAGGGTTTAAAGAAATATGGAGACTTCTATCCATTGCACGGCCAGAGGCCAAGAAGCTCGGGTTTGCTTTCTTGTTTTTGCTGGTTTCGTCATCCATCACCATGTCGATTCCCTTCTCTATTGGGAAGATCATGGATGCGGCGACAAAGTCTACTACTGAAGGGGGCAGTGAACTCTTCGGCCTTAGTCTGCCAATGTTCTATGGAGCTTTGGCCGGAGTCCTCACTCTGGGCGCTGCAGCAAATTATGGTCGCATCATTATTCTGCGCATTGTTGGTGAACGCATTGTTGCCAGACTTCGCTCGAAGCTCTTTCGTCAGACATTCATTCAGGATGCAGAGTTTTTCGACGCGAATCGAGTTGGTGATTTGATCTCTCGACTTAGCTCGGATACAATTATTGTCGGAAAGAGTATTACGCAGAATTTATCCGATGGCTTGCGGGCAGCAGTGAGCGGTGCAGCCGGCTTCGGATTGATGGCATATGTCAGTCTTAAGCTCTCCAGCATTCTGGCTCTATTGCTTCCTCCCATTGGCCTTGGAGCTTTCTTCTATGGAAGGGCGATTCGCAACTTGAGTCGCAAGATTCAAAGGAACCTAGGAGACTTGACAAAAATTGCCGAGGAGCGTTTGGGCAATGTGAAAACAAGTCAGTCTTTTGCGGGTGAAGTTATTGAGGTCAACAGGTACAACAGCCAAGTGCGCAAGATCTTCGAACTCGGCAAGAGAGAATCCGTGATTAGTGCGACTTTCTTTAGTTCCGTATGTATATTACACTCCGATCTACATACTTCAGAGATCTAACTATTCGCAGACCGGTTTTATGGGCAATATGACGATCTTGGCACTCCTTTATGTAGGAGGAGGAATGGTTCGATCTGGTGCTATCAGTATCGGAGAGTTGACCTCGTTCCTGATGTATACAGCCTACGCAGGTTCTAGCATGTTTGGTCTGTCTAGCTTCTACTCCGAACTCATGAAGGGTGTTGGAGCAGCTAGCCGGCTTTTCGAATTGCAGGACCGCAAGCCGACGATATCTCCAACCAAGGGTACAAAGGTTGTCTCTGCTCGTGGCCCTATTCGCTTTGAGAATGTGTCGTTTAGCTACCCAACACGGCCTGCTGTTCCCATCTTCACAGACCTGAACTTCGAGATTCCTCAGGGAACTAATGTTGCTATCGTTGGACCTTCGGGAGGAGGCAAATCTACCATTGCTTCCATTTTGCTTCGGTTCTATCTTCCCACTAAGGGTCGGGTTCTGATCGATGGAAAGGATATCGGTGAGATGAATGCTAAATCTCTTCGGAGAAAGATTGGCATTGTGTCTCAAGAGCCCGTTCTTTTCTCGGGCTCTATCGCGGAGAACATCTCATACGGAAGCCCGCAGGCAACAAGGTCTGCGATTGTCGCAGCTGCCAGGAAGGCGAACTGCCAATTTATTAGTGACTTCGTAAGTATCGACTAAGCGTGTCTAGTTTTCGATTGTGTCTGACATTCTACAGCCTGATGGCCTTGATACTCAAGTGGGTCCTCGAGGAGCTCAGCTCTCCGGCGGACAGAAGCAACGCATTGCTATTGCCCGTGCCCTAATTAAAGACCCTGATATCTTAATTCTCGATGAAGCGACTTCTGCTCTTGACGCAGAATCTGAGACTTTAGTGAACAGTGCTCTTGCTGCTTTGCTCCGCGGGAACAACACGACAATCAGCATTGCCCATAGGCTCTCTACCATCAAGCGGTCCGACACTATCATCGTCCTCGGTCCCGACGGTAAGGTAGCCGAACAGGGTTCATACGAAGAGCTCAGCTCTCGTCCTGACGGTGCTTTCACAAAGTTGATGGAATGGCAAATGAGTGGTGGCGATGTCTCTCAGCCTCCGACGGACGCTCCTGTCAGCCCTCTGACCGAAGAAAAATTGTGGCAGATGCAGGAAGAAGAGCAAGAAGCTGTCTCCAGACAAGATGAGCAGCAGAAGAGCGAATAACTGACATTCTAGCAAGACTACCTTGTTCAAGGGTAGCTTGTCCATTTCCTTCTCGAGTTCGTTTCTTTTTCACTGTAGAGATTCATTTTTATATGTTCACCCAGTTATTTATACACTTACCTCTTGGATGGTTGGAATGATCGACTATCGCGGATGTATCTATACCTTTTGATTTGCTGCTTTGGACCGATGGGACATGCGTCTTTCTATATATTGAACAGTTAGACAAGTGGGATAGAGAAAAAGTAATACGCATCTCCACTTACTATCAACAAAGAGGGCAATATATGTCATAACAATAATCGTCGAAGGGCCTTTTTATATAAAACCTTCGATTTCTGTACTCCAGAAAATGAATTGAATGATAAACCCGCCAAAAAGATGGTTAGACTTTATAGAGCCGTCAATGGTCAAGGATGCATATGATACATCAGATGATCAGCTCAGCGGTCTAACGGCCGGGCTTGGCAGGTGACCCTGTTATCGCTTCATACAGAGTACTGCGGAGATCCAGTTCCCCTCCAACATTCTCCTTATATCCAGGTTTCCCGGGTTGATCATGGATTGATTGATCCCATCGTTTCTACTTCCAGAAAGTGAATTTTAATACCACACTATAATCGAAAGCAATGAATCGCTTCCGGAGATGGATCTCTCCCCGGTCGGAATATGAGCCACTCGAGCAACCTCCGCATGACGGAGAGGATCGCCACTTGATATCTTCCCAAACACTACCAGAGCCACGCTTCTCCAGGTTTGAATATGGGGTATTCTTCCTCCTTGGGGTTTCCATGCTCTGGGCATGGTACGTCTTATTTCCGGCGCTCAGATGGCTATACCGGAGTATACTCAATGCTGACCAGATTGTGTCACAGGAACATGTTCCTCGCCGCTGCACCGTATTTCTATCACCGCTTCAGCTCGGATGAGTGGGCTGTGGCCCATTACCAGGCCTCCATTCTCATTGTGTCGACCGTCACAAACTTGGGCTCATCGTTCACTCTCGCGAAGCTGCAGAAATGGACGTCATACCCGAAACAGATCACGGTTTCGCTGCTGATCAATATCGTGATCTTCACGTTGCTCGCATTATCTACCGGTCTTCTGAAAAACGCTTCCGTTGGATTATATTTTAGCTTCCTGATGCTTATGGTATTCGGAACTAGTTGCGCGACCGGAATGAATCAGATCGGCGTATTTGCCTATGTCTCTGGTTTTGGGAGACCAGAATATACTCAAGCTATTATGGCAGGCCAAGGCCTAGCAGGTGTCCTGCCATGCATCGTGCAGATACTCTCTGTTTTGGCTGTCCCAGAGCAAACAGGGGAACAGAACATCCCACAAGAGTCGTCCAAATCGGCATTCTTGTACTTCATAACTTCTACTTTTGTATCGCTATCGGCACTGGTTGCCTTCGGTTCCCTTGTTAGGCGACGGGCGAACACCATGTCCAAATTCGCGCAGAGTTCATCTGACGCTACTTCTGACCACACAGGTCGCAAGTCTGTCAGCCTCTGGAGTCTTTTCAAAAAGCTTCGTCTCATGGCTCTTGCGCTTTTTTTCTGTTACACTGTCACTATGATGTTTCCTGTCTTCACAGCAAAGATCGAATCAGTCCGGGACCCACAGGGTAGTTCCCGTTTGTTCCAACCGGCTGTTTTCATCCCGCTGGCGTTCTTGTTCTGGAATGTAGGAGACTTGGCTGGAAGGATATTAGTCCTTATTCCCCAATTATCATTAACCCACCGGCCTTTTGCTCTGTTCATCCTGGCAATTGCTCGCATTGGGTTCCTCCCCCTTTATCTTCTATGTAACATACGCGGTCGAGAGGCCGTCGTGAAGAGTGATTTCTTCTATTTATTCGTTGTGCAATTGCTTTTTGGCATTGGCAATGGTTATCTTGGAAGCAGCTGCATGATGGGCGCTGCTCAATGGGTCTCTGAGGATGATCGTGAGTCGGCGGGTGGATTTATGAGCTTGATGCTGGTAGGAGGCTTAACTGCTGGCAGTCTGCTGAGCTTCTTTCTTTCTAGTGTGTGATTTTGAATGCCTGCGTCTGTTTCCTTGTTCACCCAGGTCACGGGCTATGACATCTAGCAGTCTACAGATAGATATTAGAATGTGCTCTACCGCATCTAGCTGCAACAATAGAACCAATTATCATACCTCTCGTTTCTTTTGTAACATGTTCTAGACAGCCATTTTCCCACCACAATACGACAAGGAACAAGCAATACTGACCCTAGAGCCGTGAATCCTGGATGGTACGCAACACTCATAGCGGACATTGCTCTGTATAAAATGCAAAGTACTACTTCAAGCTTTTGGACAGTGTCTGTTTCATGACACCAATTCACAAAATACTAGGACTAACGCTAGTCCTACCCATCTGCAGTGCTCATATCATAACATCATTACTCTGCGTCGCAGGTTGTTACGTCCCACCGAGGTATACAACACAAAACAACCCAAGCCCTAACTATAAAACCAAGCCAAAAACATAAGCCAACTTCAACGAATCCCACAACGCCTCATTCTCTTTCAAATCAGAATCAAACAACTTCTGATACCTCACCCGATCTTCATGGTTCAATTCAAACCCCCTCGCCCTCCGACAACACCCACACTCCACCGTACAATGCCCCAGCCGAATCCTCTTCTCCGTATCCCTCTCCCTCTCGCAGCACCCACAACTCCTCCCACAACACCCTCCCCTGCCCGCACAATCATCTCTCAAATACCCCAGCAGATACCACTCCGGATTGCTCCTCCAGGTCACATACGCCCTCTGCAACGGCCCCGGCGGAACAGACGCCTCCCGCCGGTAAAACTCCCGCTCCAGGTGCCAGTACTTCCTCGCCAGGTCCTCTAGCTCCATTCGCCATTTTGCCAGCTGCGCGCGTTGCTCGGTGCTTAGCGGTGGGCGGTCGTCGGAGGTCAGCGCTTTGATCTCCTCGCGCAGGTAGATCTCGCGCTGCCCTATTTCCCGCAGGTGAGTGTCCATCTTGATTATGTCTTTTGCCCATTCGGGGTCGATTTGGTTCTTCTGGGGGCCGTGCGCGTGTTGGACATGACGGAGGTGTTGGGCCCAGCTTGGTTTGCCCAGTTTTATCAATAGCTTTTCGAATTTGGAGGTCATTGTTGTTGGTGTTTTTTTTTATCGGGGTTGGTGGGATATGTATGTGGGTGTTTAGGAGATCGGTGATGGTACCGTGGGTTCGGGGTGGCTTTCTGTTCCGATGAGGTGTCATGCATACTTCAGTGTTGGGGGGTTTCTGAGGGGTGAATATGCTTGGACTTCGTCATATCTTGACGAGAAGCACCAGAAATCAGGCTATGTTTGATATTCCTCGTAAAAGCAAGCAATGTTATAGGTATTGTAAAGATCAAAATTCCCGGTAAACGCCATGCTAAGCCGTCTATATATGCCCCCAGTAGCGCCAGAAGTGAAAGATGAGTCGCTTGATGCCTCCATTATGCACAGATCAAAGTCAGAAAAAATCCTTCTCATCCAGCCACTGAGAGTCAATTGCATAGGCTACCAAGTCGGCAGCACAGCACATGTCCTCATGGCCGCGCTCAAGATGCAGAAGGTCCAGGACGGCATGTAGTCGATCCTCAAGTGTGGATTTCAGTTGAGAAACTTGTTTCTGCGTATCTTCTGCACTCTTCACTGTAATGACTTTGTCCTTCTTTGTCGATTTGTCTGTTTGTCTTTTGAGTCCCTTATTAGACGAGCATGGGGCTAGGGGCTGTCGTGGTGCCGGAAGCGAAACCTCCGGCTTCCTGTTCTTGAGCAAAGACTTAAGCAGAAAGAGAAGCCAGACGAGGTTAGTGCGTGGCGCATACTCAGCCCAGATGCCGGGGATATCGGGCGTCTTCTCTGTCTCGAGGGGGTTCCCATTGTAGAGCTGAGCACGCATACTGTTGGGCGTTAGCGGGTATTTTTGAAGCCCCTAATTTATAGGACGATACTCACTATCTATAAGTGTCTCTCAGCATGGCCTCATCCTCATCACGCCCGATAGCATCGAAGATCTGCTTCTTATCGAGATCCGACGATGCTACTTCGACAACTGCTCCTGACTCCTCAACGCGTAGTTCCGCGCGAGAAAGTGAATAATCAATAATTGTAGTCTCTAGGGTGCTCAAGCCAAATCCGCTTGAGTGTGACTGACTCATTACTTCGAGGTCTGTCGGGGGGTTCATAGAGCCATCTGGCCGGGTGCTTCTAATACAAACATTTCCGAGATGGAGATCTCGATGCTAGATACGTGTCAATACTATTCGGTCTCCAAGGCTTCTTAGAATGAGGCCTACCTCAAATAGGGCATACTCCTCGGCTCGCGCGAGAGCCATTGCCACTCCCCAAAAGATATCGTAAATCTGGAAGGTTGATGACCAAGCAAACTTTTCAAGCTCACAGCCAGCATCGTCCATCTCCACGATAGCCCACAATTGTGAGTCAGGATACGCCCTTTTGCTGGATGGATTGGGGTTCAAGCAGTCATCTTTGGTCTTCTTGTAGTGGTCCCAAGCAGACTGAAAAGACTCTGGGAATCGACCTTGGACCACATGGATCTCCCGAAAGCGAGCAAATCCGGGAATTGGGTCCAAATATTTGAGCATCTTGACTTCGGACACGATTTCTTCGATACTGGTAAACTTCTTCGAACCAGGCCCACTCTGAGCTCGTAAGGGTACAACTTTGAACACGTTGTCACCGTACGCTTTTAGGCGAGCAAGCTTAGATCTAGACATTTCTTTCTTGCACATCTCTTCGCGCAGACGGAGCTTATAGACCTCTCCGTACGAACCTTCTGCGATCTTCACTACCTCCAGCAAATTTCCGGCACGAGCAGCCCAGGAGCCGAATTTTTGCACACCCTGTGCCGCAACTGGCGATAAGGCCTCGTTCAAGATGCGACGAACGTATGCATTCACTTTATCATCCATTACACACCCAGATGACAAACGGGGCGGGACTTTGTTTCTCCTTGCTCGTCTCTCACCCTGCCTCTCGGTTTCTGCACTGCATGTATCCTCTTTCTGTTCTTTTTGATTCTCATGCTGCTCTTGAATTTCTTGTTCATCTTGTGGTTTTGGCGCTGCCGTCCTCGAACAGATTCTAACTTCCACCATCGTCTCATATTTCTTCCGTGGTTTCGGGACGTTGTCCGGAGGGCACTCCTCGGTAGTCTCTTCGTCATATTTCGGTTCAGTTGACACTACCTCGGGTTTATGCACTGGCGGTGCAGTTTGAGTAAGGTCTGTCTTCTCAGCGGGAATTTTTGGCTGGTCGGTTTTGTCTTCCTTTTGCTGAGATGGGGTCGCTTCGTTTATTTTGACCTCAGCCAGCCGAGCTTGGATGCGATCCACAGCTTCATCAACGGCCTTCGAAGTTGTTTCCTCTATCGGTTTTGCTGGACTTCGCTGTTCGAACACAGCTCGTGGGGCATCTGCTCTTCGCTTTCCGTATACTCGTTTCGGCGCAGCGGTGCGTGTCTTGGTTCTCGGTTTCGGGGTACGGTCGCCTGTAAAGGCGGGCGAAAAAGTCGACGCCATTGCTATCTGTTAGGTCGAAATCCGCCCTGAGACGTTGATTCTATTCTCCAAATCCCAGTCGAGAGAGTAATCGTCAAAACAGCTTCATTAGGGGTTGACGGAGGGCCTATTGATTCTTTTCCGCAAAGGGACTAGCGTTCTAGTTGCTCTGGTGAACTGCATTATGTAATTATGGATTGGCTCAACCAATCATGGTTGATTGACATCATCCACCCATTCTTCCAGGCAGTTAAGGCACCAGTGAGGCATCAGCCCGCAGAAATGACGGAGCGCATGGATTTAGAGGTATACAACTTGTCCTTCCAAGAGTCAACGAACAGAATTTAGTATGCAATTCCCTTCGGGTGTTCATTATCCTCCCCAGCCTAAGCTGACAAGGATACGGTGTCTCTCCAAACCCAAGTGACAAATACAAAAAGGTACTGATTTACACCATATACGGAGAAGATATATTTTGCCATTGAGACCCCCTGCTTGGGACCTACATGACATACTCCACAAACCACAACTTAAGTTTGTGATCCAAATATGTTAACTAATGTCATATCTTGTTTTCTTCTCTTGGCGTCATTTTGCGAGAAATTAAACTTCAGCCTCAGATCGACATGGTAGGATTCAAGTCTGGCCGGTGGACCCTGAAAGTCCAGGCAAGGCTGTCGGGAACCGCTTTAGGAAGTTCCTCAGTTGGTTGTGTCTGATGGATTCTTTCCCGCAAGCTTAGCTGCCTCCTTACGGCTACTTGCATCCGGTGGACGAGTGTCAGCCATTACACGTAGAAGAGATCAACGGCTAACGGTTTTGAATTCTGATCGAATAATTGCCACGGACTTGGAGGCCTGAAGAAGCCAATTTGCTCGCATTCAACAATGGAACCTCTTGTTGAGTCACGAAGACTCATCTTGAGTCCTCCTGCACGTACCATTAGAATCAGGCAGCAGGATTATCACTTCACATTTATAATCACCGTTGATTGACCACATGTGAAGTGATGGAAAGCGTTTTCTTGCTAGTACATTTGTGATGAAGGACCATTGGCTCGACGCCTCCTTCGAGGCTGTCTTGTGCCCAGCCGTCATCTTAGTGCTGACCATCCCACATATTCGCCACGTCTTCAAACAGCTTTCAACTACAGATAGGCAAGGTTATGGCCTGGTAAGTGGCTATGAAGATGAAGATGGAATGGCAACAGATAAGTCCGAGAAAGGAACCTCGGATATTACCCAGAGAGTTATCCTATTCATCACGGCAGTTGTTGCTGTGTTGACTGCATTGTTGTCATCCCTGAATGCGACAAGCCATGATAGCTCACCACCAGGGATCGAACAATGGCTACAGTTCTCCGCTTGGGTATGATGAACTCGACCATGTCCATATTTGTATATTAACACATCCAGGCTCTGCTGCTCGTTCAAGAATGTATCGTCATCTCTCGCGCCTTACCCCAAGAGAGGTATGACCTAGGGATCTGGAGTACCATTTCCGCTCTTCTGCTCAGCATCGCAGGAGTCTTTCTGGATGGTTTGTGGACCAACCCCAATGCATCAGGGTCGAGTATATCCTTGGCTGCTGTCAAATTCACTGCGGGAATCATCCTATCCTTTGCCAACATTTCTTTTTCCCGTCGACCAGAGGTATATTTAGGGAGCAAGCCAGTCGATCGTCAACGGACCGTTTCCTTTCTCAGCAGATACACATTCTCGTGGCCAGTGCCCATTTTGTCAAAAGCCGCGCGGAACAAACAACTTGAACCCGAAGACTTCCCTGCAATAGGGTATGAGGTGCGCGCACGAACCTTGTATGATCGTTGGCTTTCTTGCACCCACCCCAAATTATGGAGGAAATTATTGAAAATTTACCGGACAACCTGGATCGTTCAAGTCGCCATCCAACTGCTTACTGCGGTGGCACATTTCCTGCCTCAAGCTTTGTTGTTCCTTACCCTTCGTTTGCTCGAAGAGCGTGATGCACACGCAGACAATCAGAAACAACTGTGGATCACGACGGTCGGTCTCGGCGGATCCCTTTTCATATCATCTTGGCTGGAGTCGTTGCTGCAATGGGTGGTATCTATGGAGCTAGAATTGCCGATCCGAGAGCAGCTATCTGCAGCTATTTTCAGCAAAGCACTCAGGATAAAGGAAGTTGTGAATGTGAACTCACATGATTGCTCTGAGAGTAAAGCATCATCTAGCGAGTGTGGTGGTGATGATGATGATGATGATGATGATGATGAAGATGGCGAGGATGGCCCACCAAAAACGAAACAATCCATGACCAACCTTCTAGGGGTAGACGCTGTGACAATTGCAACTTTTGCAAAATTCAGCCATACCCTCCTAGATACCATCATTCAGTTCATTCTTGCTATCGCCTTTCTTACAAACATTCTGGGTTGGATGCCGGTACTGTGGGCTTGCACGGTCCCAGCGGTATTGATTCCGGTGAATTACGTTCTGGCCCAGAAATACAGCAAAGCAGAGGATGCGCTCATGACAGCAAGCGATCGAAGAATGGCTGTCTTATCTGAGATGCTACAGGGCATTCGCCAGATTAAATTTGATGCCCAAGAAGATCAATGGAACAGCAAGGTGCAGACTCTACGTTCCAACGAGATCAAGAGACAAGACCGGGTTTTCCAGTTCAATCTCGCACTGATTGCCGTATGGTCTTGTGGTCCCCTTTGCATGAGCTTGATTTCACTAGCAACCTATTTCGTGGCCAACAGGACTCTATCTCCCTCCGTTGCCTTCACGGCCCTCTCCGTTTTTCAAAGCTTATCGGCCACACTTTCCAACTTCCCAGAAACAATCAGTGACTTAATGAATGCCATGGTGAGCGCGCGACGCATCGAACAATACCTTGAGTTACCGGAACATAATAATTGCCACACAGATGGGGAGGCA